TGGTTCAAAAACAGTGATAAACTTGCCAGGATCCTTGATAAACTTGTTTTAAATCTTGACAGGATCCTGCAATTCCGTGGCTACACGCTTCTTTCAGGATTTAGTCGTTTCCTCAGGAAAAGACATCGAATCCTTGCAGGATCTTGATCCTATCTTCCAAGGATCCGGGGCTGAAACATCAAAGATTTTCCCTAGGGAAAGTGTTTAAAAAAACAATTTTTAACATAGAACTGAACAATGTATATTGTTGTCAATGAATCCATTGTTAATGATAATCATCCGACTGGTATTCACTGAAATGATGAGAATTATAGTTCGTTATTTTCTACTTAGACAGAAACGTATATTTGACCTCGTTTAACCATGTCTAACTGATCAATCAGAAATTCATTTTGAAATATTGCTTAGACAATGATTTCCTTCTATGTGATGACCTCCGATGCAATAAACATGCTTCGTATGACCGGACATGGAAAAATGTTCAACTTTTTACGGCGCCGCCGTTGCTGTAAAAAAGAAAACGGCTGGCACATCTATGTAGGAAATAAATTGATTGGATGGCTTGTTTTGAATATTTTGTCCGTTCTTTGTTTCTTGTCCCTTTAAAATGGAAATCATGGTCAAAAATGGTCAGTCTATAAAAAAATTCATAGAAATGACATCCTCCATGTCTTCAGCAAAAGTAATACTGCTAATAGGTTGTTTTTACGTGTACATAGCAATGATGTTTTCTTGTTTCTTGACCGTCATTCTAAATATGGACAAGTACTCAACTTATCGTCAATGTGAACTTGATGCAAAAGATTTCTCGTTGTAAACGATCTGTCGTATCGATGATGTCATCTCACGTCCTCAGGAAATGCAAAGTTCCTCATTGATGATAACCAATAGCACGTTTCTAATTTCATTCGAGGTAACTTCCAATGGAAACAGCACAAAACAATGATTTGAAGAATGGTCAGTACCTGTACTACTCAAATCGAATCTGGTCAGTATAATCATACAACTACCATTAATTTTATATTAATCTATATTTCTCTATCATTTCTAGATAAACAGCACATATTTATACTTTGTTGATCCTAATGATATTCGACGGCGACCGCTCCAACACAAACCGGATGTAAATTTGGCTCGCAATGCTGCTGTGTGGTATCCTTTAATACCTGGATTAATATTCACATTGGGCATCGTACCACTCGTTCTTTTCATTCATCAAGGGTTAAAAATAATTTTAGTATGATGCCCATGAATTCTGTTTCGTATGCGCACATATCCTATTAGTTCACCATAAATAACCAACTAATTAGTTTTCTGATATTCAATTTTTTATTGTACACAATAAATAAAATTTCATAGGGAATAGAAAAGAAAAAACATATCCAATTGTATGAATATAATCAAATACATTGCTATAAATTTGTGTCTGCACGAGCATCATGTCCTATTCCCATATCAATCGTTTTCGTAGTACTTGCTAATATAACAATCTTTTATGAGAGATTCTAATGAGAATATGATCAAGTCCGATTTAGAAGACTTTTCTGTTCAAGTCGAATATGGGCAATTTTTTTACATTTAATTGATGTTATTCATAAATCATATGAGATTTCCATCAATGCTGACAGTGAACAACAACAAAAAAGCAAAGAAGAAAACGGAGTTGTCAATATGTTTTATGCATCGTACTCAGTGATATTTTGTTCTTTATTCGACTAAAATCACTAATGGTTGTATATGAAAAGTAAATAAAACTGAAATTTCCATTCATGACAGTTAAAAATTCTATTCTGTTTTCCGTTCAAGCACAAGATAATATGTAATTTCGAATTAGAAAAAGTAGATTAACCCTTTCAATCCCGACCCTTTCTCTCATTTTATACAAAGTTGAAGAAAATCTAGATTGCTCTCTCTCTTGCGTTTTTATCTAGATAATTAGCTGTACACGAATTCTAGCTACGCTAGTTCAGTGCGAAAAAAAATATTTTCACAGCGAAGAATACATGCGTTTCTTTGAACACACATATGATATGTGTCATTTAGGAAGACGACATAACGCAAAATTTCTATATTATGATATACATGTCATCTACGAGATGACATGCGGGATTGAAAGGGTTAAGATGCGTTTTCTTGATTTTGAACAATTTATATTAATTGTCTAAAAATGTGTCCGCAACGTCGAATCGAATAGGAACGATGGGTGTGGGGTAGGTTCGGGTGGGGATGTGGAGTAGGTGGCTGTGTGGGGTAGGTGGGGGTATGGAAATGCCCGTATGGTTGTTTAAAGAATGCTACACCCACAACCATCCACCCATACCCACACCCATCCACCCACACCCACACCCACCCACACCCAATAAAAAATAATAATAATAAGCATGTGCATGTGTTGCACATTAGAGCGTGACCAATTAACATAGGCGGCAAAATACGTTAGATAAAGAATAATAGAATTGATTCCATATTATTTGTAGCAAAAATGTCTTAAAATATCATGTTCATCAATGCTCTAGACGAGCGTAATCCATAGTAGTCCTATGAAATAGATCTATTTCCGTTTCTCAATACATTTATCTACTATGCAGTTTCTATTCGGAGAAAAGAAACCAACTCCTGAGGAGATTTCCATCAATTAACATAATGTATGTGTGATTTGCAGACTTTTATACCGAGTAACTGCTGAAAATCTTTATCTTAAAAAATAGAATTTTAATGTCACACCCTGATAAGAACTACTCTGACACTTTTGTTAAATATAAATCCTTCGTTCTTTCTTAAATCTTTTAGTAACTTTAAACACTGCATTTTCAAACATTGTTTTTAAATTTGACACCGTTGCCATCACATGATGAATTTCCCAAATCTTACAGTCCGTTTTGGAAAAGGTTGCGTGACTATCTAATGGTGAAATAAAAAAAACTTGTCAAAGCATTTTTTTAATGAATAGATATTACAGAAAACTTTGAAAAGAGTGATCAAAGTCAGCTAACTATATCGATAAATGTTTTCACAACGCCGTTTTATAATAAAAGATACCAAGAATTTGAGTACTTAGAATTAGTAATGAAAATTATTTTTTATTGATAATTTCATGGAATATAAATGATATAAAATTATTAAAGAAACCCGAAGGATTATTTTTTTTTCATCATCGAAGCAGCAATAACTACTGATTTCAGATATTGTTTTCGTTTGCCAGACTCGTCCGATGAATTTGCTGAGTGTTTTGCTGGCCGTATAGTTTGATTCGATACAACTTTTGAACCTGTTGCACGTTTTAATTTGGTTAAAAATTCATGTGTTATCAGTGTGGGATCATTTGATAATGGAATACACGCTCCGTCAGCTAAAATTCAAAGATTTATGTGTCTTTTTTACTATGAAGAAGATTATATGTAATCAAATCGTTTACAATTGATTTCTATTAATACACAATGCACATGTAATGGTAAACAAAGTTGTTCAGATGAAACCAATTTTGTATCAGATGGCGAAAGCTGAAATGGTTCTCCAGTATTTATAGCACATAAATCTATTCTTTTTGATTCTGATATAGAACAATGAGTTCGAATATAATTTAATAAATGTATTGGCTAATTAGGAAAAATGCAAAATAATTTTATTTAGAATAAAGTCAATTGGAAAAAAAATCTATTTACTCGACAATTTCCATTAACAAGCAAAACTTTATCTTCACCGTAGTGAACTTCGATCAACATTTTCTTTGCCTATGCTGCTATTCGTAATCGATGAAAAAGACGATTTTCTGTTTAACAAACATTCTCAAAGTGGCACTTCATCGTTCTTCTCTCGTCGCTAGGCTGTCAAGCATGAGAAAATAATTCTAACGTCATCATATACGAGGCCATTATTGTTGCTAAATGAATAAGCAACATACAGAGTATGCCATAAATAGCACTGAGATTACAAAACATGAAATTTCTCTATATCGATTCAATAAAATAGGTTGATTGTTGAGTTCGACATAGAGATTAATTCACATTCTGTTTTTCAAACGGATTAGGTAAATAAAGATGACTAAAAAGAAATATTGCTGGTTTCATGGCAACAATATTACTTGTCGCCAAGCAAAACAATACATTCGTTGTATTGCACAGATCATTTTTTGTTAAAAGCAAAGCAAATGAGAAGGAGCCAAACGAATTCTATGGATGATACCAGAGGTCCAAGCAGGCCCACTTTTTAAAGGCCTGACCTGCCTGTGACAGGCCTACAGATATTTAGCCTGCCTGCGCCTGTCATAAAATTTCTTCAGCCTGGCCTGCCTGCCTGTCATTTTCTTCGGCCTGCCTGGCCTGCCTGTCTAGGCCTGTCTATTTTTCTTTGGGTTTAATATCATGATAATAATAAAATATATTCAACTGTTAATCTTTATAGGAAGTTCAACACGTGAGTTGAATGACTTTAGATGCTCCAAATGGAAATTCTCTAATGTGAATATCAAAGAAAATAATTAAAAGTGCTTAATATACAGAAGTATTCTTTTCTTGCGTTTCCATTATATCACGTGAGGTTAAGATCAGGAAAAATGTTAACTTCAGAAAGTTTATTGTAGTAAAAGGTGTTTATGTTTCACGAAAAGAAGACTTCAACCCAAAAGTAATCGATTTTGAAGAGAAACGCTCAGCATGAGTCTGGGCTGTTCTT